TGAGGAAAGCTTAAATACATGCAGTTGTACGAAAAGAATGTCTCACTGATACAGACAAGTTAATAGATAGGAGAAATATATTAAAATGGGCTAAGGGGAGTACTTTGTGGTAATGTGAACTGTACTACACTTAGGGCTTCGAAACTAGATTTTGTGATGACTGTGATGAATTTGAGTTTCCATAACGACAGAAAATATGTTGAAGTGTTGAATATTCATCAAAGTTACGTCGTAACGATACGCTGTTTTAGAGTAAAAGGATGTGAGACTGCTTTGCTGTCTACTTCTTGTGGTATACGAAGGCTTTATTTTCTTTTCCCCGGTTGAAGATTCCATCTCTCTTATTATTGCTATTCTTGCAGTATAGAGAGAGAGACTCCCTCTTCACGGGGTTAAGTGTAGAAATCTCCGTTGTCATATCCGGACGTCCGCGCTCTTCGCCTGAGAGGGAGGATGTCCCTCCATCTCAGTGTTTCACTTAACTCCGCTGAAATTCTTCGCTCTGGAAACTCTCCGTAGCTCGTGCTACACAGCTATCCGCCCTGCGCAGCGTCACTCATAGAATCACACTTCCGCTGTCCTCTTTCACGTTTTTAAGATAAATTCTCTCATATGAAGCAGGACCAAATCGCTTAGTCTGAAAATTTTCCTCTCATGTTTATTGAATCGTAGAATGTACCGAACACTAGCCTTATCTGTTCAAATTTTGTAGCCAATTATATCATCTCGTTGTGATGTTGATTTTTAGTCATTCAGCGTTTTTCATGTCTGCAGTAGGCCTATTATTAACTATAGAAACTCCGTGGAGTGGAGTCCTTGAGAAGGTAATAATTGTATGCGCCCAAAGATAAATCCCCTGACTTTTATGGAACCGATGTTTCATTACGCAGTGCACGAGCCCGACACCGGCAAAGTTCCCTATCCAACACTTTCTTCAAGATTCATTTTAATAATACCCTCCCATCTACACTTAGTACGCGGTATTATTAATCTATGTTATTTTATAGTTTAATTTAAATGTTATATCCTGGTAGAGAAAATACATTGCAGCAGGTTTAAAATTAAAATTTTCTTCTTAGGAAACATTTATTTAATTTTTTTAGAAAATGTTTCGAAATGTGTTTGGATCTAGTTCTCAGATATCCCTTGATTCTGCGATAGTGAACCCAGCAAACAGCAAAGCTTTCTCCCTGTCTGCCGCCTGACCCAGTGGAATTAGGAAGCTTATCACGGATTTTTCCTGCAGGGAGACTGAGGAAGTGAAGCTTCGTCCATGAGAATCACTAAGGCCTCCGCCCCCATCGTCTTTAACAGAATGCGGAAACGTTCAGGGGAAACTGAGGAAGAGAATGCCAGGAGATTAAATTATCGTTCCTAATAAGGTCCTGGGATTAAGGAAGGTGTTCTGTTGTTATTTTCAAGTGGAAATAACAAACGTAGCTTGTGGGAGGGAGATTGGATGTTTTTTTTTTATTCCAAACGGGGTAATATCTGTCGCACACTTTTTCTCAAACCGTGTTCGTAGCCTTAAATACTGGTAAGAAACTCCTAAAATATAAGATACGATATTCGTGTTCAGTAAATACGAATGCAAAATAAATCCTGGTGTGGCCAACAGTATGTTGACTTAAAAGTATCCGACTCAGAGCGGAATTCTTCAGTCCCAAATAATTATTTACTCTCAGGTGTAGACATTTGTTCTTGTATTCCTATCAGTTCCTCTCCATTGTGACTTGCACTTGTATCTCGGTTTCATTTTCGCGGTTCGAATTTTGTAGTCGCACAAACACAGTACAAGCCACGGTGGTCTAGCGGTTAGAACGCTGGCCTTGTAATCCTGGGGGTCTCGGGTTCGATTCCCGGCGGTGCCCGAATTTATAACTTGTGTTGGGCAAGGCCGTGGTCTAGGCAACACGGAGTTTTCCTCCG